TATTCTTCAAGAATCTATTAAGAATAAACGGAAACATCATTGTCAATTGTAAACAGTCTGACATCATGAAACTGTCAAAACGTGTTTGGCAATTTTCGCCAAGTCTTTGGATACTCAAAGGACTTTCAGACTGGGATAAATTCCGATTTGCCTTCTGGTGAAAGTGCTTTGATTGTAATCCTAAGAAATGATTCCATCCATTTATTCAGTATGATATAAATATGTCCTATCAATTTACATTTTAATGTTTATTATATGATAATTGCTTACATAAACTATGTTTCAACCATATATTTTTGTATAATTGTTCTGATTATTAAATAAAACTAGTAATAATGCACTTTTTTATAAATTGTTATTCTTCTTGTTTATAATAATAGATAAAATATTATAGTAATATTATTCACTATCTAAGTTGTTAATTGATGAGGATTCATCATTTTTTTTTGGGTTTAAAGGTACTGTTATTTTTATTAACAGTTAATATTTAAGATTATTTACTTTAATTGAATACATTATATTTATAAAATAAAATCTATTTTTAGCAAAGTTTATATATTCATATTTGATGATAATCCAGTGATAACACATTATCTATAAAATGATTTATAAAGAATATGTTTTGCAAATTTAAAAACAGCATATTTAAATTAAAAAAAACATACTACGTAATTAAAATAGAAGGTTATATAATAAAAGAATATTTGAGTAATAAAGATGAAGCTTCACCTTTTTTCAAGTATTAGAAGTTATTAAATATCAGATTTATAAGCTTATGATCACATTAATAAAATACAGTATGTTAATATTTGCATAGACAGCTTTGTTCCAATATCTTGCTTTGTCCATTGTTACACTTTTTGAACATTGATTATGATATCATTAAATTAAATAAATTAAGTTAATTTTGATAGTAGATTAATAATTTGAAAATAATACAGTATTTGCACTATTTGTATTAGTTTCTTTTTAAGTAATCTAAGTTTGTATTAATAAAATTTATAGAAAATATAATAATGACATTCACTAAGTACTTATGTATTTTATCATTTACTAATTGTGTATTTAATTTTTTTTTTCTTTTTTTTTTTAAAAAAAATAACATTAGTTTGATTCCACAAAACACCCCATTATATAAAATATTTATTTGATATTATTCTCTAATTATACACTGTATATAGGATTTATTTCCATTAAAGTAAATAAATGTGAATAACAAAATTCGGTCTCAATTCTTGTATTTAAACCCTTAATAAATTTTATTATCATACATTTCCATTTACGTATTGTTTAATATTTATACTTCAATTGGAAATTAATGGTAATAAGCTCTATTTTAAGCTATTATTTATAGGATATTTTACAAAATGGAATGAACAAAAATTACAAAATTTTATTTATTTATTTATTTATATAGAAGAAAATGTCAGAAAGCTTGTGTAATGTTTTTTGATGTCCAGCCGGGTCTAAAATAGCATGTGCATATTCATATTCCTTATTCTCTATTTTTAGCTTTTTATGTATGAAAGTTTTAAAAAATTCAAGGATGTAATAAAAAAAAATCCTATTTTTGCGCGATTAATATTTATTACTTGATTCAGTGTAGATTTTATTATTTTATAATAAGATATTATTTTTCTAATAATTATAAAAAAAAAGATTTTGCGCAAATAGTTAAACATAAATAATACAAATGCAACATTTTTTTTATTAGTAATAAAAAAACAATGTTCCTAATAGCTTTTTGAAAAAAAAAATTCCTATTTTTTTTTTGTTATTTTTTTTTTAATATTATATAAATTATCATGATTATGTCTTCAAAATTATCAAATTATCTCTAATACAGACGAAGATGGCGAGAAAATGAATATAGAATAAAACAAAGAGGATGAGAAAGAAGAAGATAAAATTAATCCCAGACGAAGAAGACGGCGGAAAAAAGGTGGACCTTTTAGCTCCAGACGAGGATGATAAGTTAGTTATTCATTCAGTAAATCAAACACGTTGGAAGAGAAGGGCTGAAAGAAAAGGTATGTAAGGAAAGAACGAGACAAGAAAAGTGTGAGGAGAGAAGAGCGAGAGAGGGAAGAAAGATAAGGGCAAGACAAGCCACACCAACAGATATAACAAACTGAGAAATTTTATCTATAATATATCAATTTAATCGAAGAACATCAAACAAGTAATGTCACTGCAATCCAATAGTACATAGGCTAACCCTCTTACAGAAAAGTTGGTTTCTCCTTAATATTCTCCCTTAGTTCCTCCATTATTAGTCCTCTACAAGTAAAAAAATAAATTATGGGATAAATAAAAAAAAAATAATAATGAAAATAATAAAAATAGAAAAAAAGTCAAACAAACATGATATAAAAAAAGATAAAAAAATATTATGGATATTCTGCGGCATTCCTATAAAGAGTCAATTACTATTGACGTGTAAACACATTTCTTGTTATTATATGTTATATATAAATTTAAGTTCCATTTGTAATTAAATCTTTAGAGAAATGTAATTTAAAGTAGGATTTATTTTTTATAAATACTTTTATCAATATAACCGGACTGTTCAATCTATTCATTCATTTAAATCTCGTTACTAATCTAATTAATGCCCATGCGATCAAAATCTTTTCCAATTCCAATTTTATACAAAAAAAAATATTTGTCGACAATAAAATTGAAAATTTTATCGTGCCTCTTCCACATTATGCCTCTTCCACATTATTAATAACTAATCCTCGTAAAGAAAATAATCAAATAATCAAATAAATTATTAATTGAACGACTAAAACCGAGTTAAAGCGGTTAATGAATTATTATTATTATTATTTTTTAAATCAAACATTATAAGTTTCTCCCAATTATAATGTGTGGAATTTTTTAACAACCAAAATTTCTTTAGCAGCTTAATTAATTAGCTAGTTTCTTGTGACATAGCAAAAATATTCATCATTAGTTACGAACTATAAGTAAGAAAATTAATTTACATTTGTTAACTAGATGAGAGAGAAATGGGTCAGAAGCGAGAAAAGTTATAATTAAGAATGTTATAAAAATGAAATTGGAATTATCCTCCAAAAAAAAGTAAGTTTATTTAAAATATACAGTACAAACTAAAATAAGAATGTTCAATAAAAATTTACAAATAATCACGTATAAATCATAAACAAAAAAATAAATTTACATATTTTAAAGAATTTGGAATACTTCATAATCTTCTACTGTAAATTTTGCTTCAGTATCTCTTATCTTTTTTTCGTAATACTTTTGTCTACACAAACTTACATTAAAATCTCCATACGGTGAATCTGATGAATGTATTATAAGATCAGAACCAAAATATGGACCAGCATTTGGATGATAATTTATTGCATAATTCATTTCCTTTACATTACTTAAAATTGCATTCTTTAAAAGGTTATTCTTACTCTTAAAAGAAAATATGAAACTATATTTAGTTTGACCCCAAATATTAGAAGATTGCCATATTAAAGGATTATATCCACCAAGAATTTCTTCTACCCCTTTTACTTTAATAAAGGTAACAGTATTAGGTTTATTATCACACAATTCATGAAATTTCTTTGATGTGAATCCATTTCGACTCCCTCTTAATAATAATTTGAATTTGTATGGTAAATATAATTCTCTCAAATATGAAAAATTACTATTAAAATCAATTTTATCGATCCATCTTGAAATAGTTGAAATTATATTTAAATTAATAATCTTCGAATCAATAATTCTATCAATTTTTAAATTTCTAGGAAATGGAATATTATCATTAGGGTTACTATCGGAATCCAAATAAGAATTTAATAACTCTTCATAATGTCGTTCTTTGAAAAGGTTTTTATATGGACGAATTTTTTGTGAGAATTCGTTAGATGATAAACTATGAAACCTGATTATTGGAATACAATGTTGTAAAGTACTTTTCATCGCTTTGAAATCATTGTCAGTCCAAGTATCAGGATCTGAGATTAGAGTTTGATTTCGTTCAAGACCCCATTTTAATACATGATCCCAAACTTCAATTTCTTTCATTTGTAAATCATCCCTTTTAATAAGTGAAACTAAAGAATTTTCTGGAAGTGAGGTGAAATCAAGAGATTTAAATACTTTTTCAGGAGATTTAACCATAAAATCTGTACAAAATTGTTGAAGTTTAAATAGTTTATTAGATTGAAAACTTATTCGATGTGTAAGTTCAAAATGTTGTTCCATCCACTCAATTTTATTTTCTATAAAATAATTTTGTAAATAATCAACTAATTCTTGAAGGTAAAGTTGATCAGCAGCGGCTAATATTTTAAGATTATCTGAAGTACTTTGCTCATTCAAAGAAAAAATGCCACCATAGATATATCTATTATACAAATTATGATAAATTTTAAGTTATGATAAATTATAAATTGTGGTAAAATAAATTTAATAAATTTACTTACATCAAAATTTTATGAAAGTTTTCTGGTGATATATTTGATAATTTAATATGAGATAAGGAATTGTTACTTTTCTTTTTATTGGATGATAAAATCTCTTTTATATATGGAGAACGGTAACATAAAATATTCATATGTGCACGAAAGTTTTTTATATTAGGTTCTTCTCCGACTTCAATTAAAATATCATAATATTCATTATCATCCAATAATTCAGTAAGGTTTTGACTTAATTTCGAAAAAAATTTAGACATGATTTCAATGTGAAAATTTAAAGTGATCATCATCGTTAGCGCCTCATTTATGTCGTAATATCTTTTTTTCCCCTCTATATAAGGTTAGAACTTAGAAGACTGATCATGTCATTATGTAATGTCAATCGGGAAAATTAAATATATCAAAAAAAGTTTTTTGTATAATGAATGTGAACGTATAATATGAATAAATTTTATTGAAATTAACTTAATAACTTGTGAAAATACTAACTTAAATATATAAATCACGGTAGTCACTAAGATGAGGTGATAGTGACTAAAACTTTTGTAAATTTTCTTAGGGCACTTGCATCATTAGTTGGCGAAAAAAAGAGAGAAAGTGCAAGTAACGAAATTTCATTTGTTCTAATGAAAAATGAACTTGCTTTTGTCGAATATTAATATTTAAACCTTGTTCAACAAGTCGTTTATAAATTTCACGCGGTAATAAATCTATATTATCCAATATAAATTGTTTGATTTCTGGTGAAATTGAAGTATCTGCTTTTTTTGGATGTAAATGATGTTTTATTTCTATATTAGATGATGCAAGATCTTCAAAAATAGTAATCTTAATGCAGCCGTTACAAGTATAACGATGCATTGATTGCCTATCACGATGTTTTTGAGAATCTGGATGTTTTTTTTATTTTTTTGGCCAAACCTTCCCATTGAGAACAACGATAAAAATAAGTTATTGACTTTGACTTGTTTTCATACATGTGATGATATCTTAGATTGTTTAAACCAAAAATAAATATGTTTGAAAATTGGTTTATTGTAAAATAAATAAATTAAATTAAAAATCTATTGCATTTAAAATAAAATTGCCTTACATCCATACATAATCATCTATATCTGATATCATTTTTATAATGTGGTTAGCCCTATCCTTTGAATTTCCTTCTAACGTAACAATATTTATAGTACAAGAAAACGCAAGCTCTTGATTTCCTATATTTTCTTGATTTTCAGATTCTTCTTTTTCAAATGCATCAAGAATCTTCGGTAAAAATTCATATAATTCGTTTAATTCAATTGATATTTGGTTACCAGTTTCGGCATTTGTCTGTTGTTTATGTTGTTGATAAGCTTTTTTGCCTTGTTCGCGACATGTAATACAATATTTGTATGATTTTTTACTAGTAATAAACACGCTTAAAGGAAGATTTCTCTCGCACCCTTTGCAGTATTGATATTCATTACCAATATTATTATTGGTTCTAAGAGGTTCCATATTACCGTTACCTATAAATGAAAGAAAAATAAAATTACTAAAAAAAATTACCAAAAAACAAACTTGGAAATATGGCTTTCAAGCCAAATAAAATTTGGATAAAATTCTATAATACGATTTCTATTTAAAACACAATGTACTACTACAATAAACTTTATTTAAAATACGAAAAAAAAAAGATTTTCTGTGTACACATTTTCTTAACTTTTAGTAATTAAACAAAATTATATTCATATTATGTGGTAAACTTTCATATTTCTACTTACTAATATAGTGTTTGCTTTCTCTTAATTGCAAAGAAAAAAAGCTTGAGAAAAAATTTTTCTTTAAACGAAATATAGAATAAAATAAAAATATACGTGTTACAAAATAATTGTATCGGCATATGCATAAGCCACAAAACAAATAACAACGTCATCATAAAACACGTGGGGGTAAAAAATTTGGTGGTAATACTGGGGAAGATTCGATCTGATAAAAGCCACACTTTTATTTAAGAGTCACAAAGCCACAAGAAATACAAGGTCAAGAAGCAGATATCGTGATAACTTGTTTTGGATTTTTTAATATAAATAAAACATCTAAGGAATCAAAATTTTTATTTGATATGAATAGATGGAATGTAGCATTAAGTATAATAATTACTACCAATGAGATGCTTAATCCTGATGACATAGAAATATTTGCCGATAAAAAAATAAGTGAAGGATTAGGATTCCTTCACATGGTGAAGAAATGGGTACAAGAAACATCTTCCGTTGTCAGCAATAGTAAAGGAAAAAGAAGGAGGGAAGATGATAATGGTATTATTGAATGGATTGTTGATGGAAGTGAAAAACGTCAAAAAGAAACGAATCTTTAAATTCGAATGAATTGTTTAAAAATAGTTAAAAAAATGTAATTATTTCCATCTTGTATCATATGATTCATTTATGAGGATATTATTTCATCAATAAAAATTAATATTTTGTTGCAAAAATTGAGTAAACATCCATAATTTTACCAAGAAAGAATAAAATCTTAAACTACTTTTCGGTAATAATGGTACAATGAATTTTTAGTTTAAGATATGACAATTGTATCATATTGGTATTAATTTTCAGAATGGATTAGGGAATAGAAGTGATTAGAGGAAAAACAGATAAAATTAGAGCCGTGCCTGGAGATTATAATTTAATTTACATCAAAATATGGACCATGTTATTAACACGAAATTTAAAAATTGAATAATCTGAATAATATTTTTAATTTATAGTATGGATTATATAAAAATCAATTTAATAAATTAATAAAGTAAACAAATCTATTTGTTGCCTTTGGAAAACTTATTGTCACCTGATCACCACGTTGAGGTGCAACATAAAGGAAAAGAGAAACATATTTATATATGTATAATTTTTTCGCATGAGTTAATTTATTACATATTAATATGACCGATATAAATTTCTTAAGATCAAATTGATTAAAACAAAGAATAGCTTATTATAAAAATTATAAATTACGTGAATAAATGTAACACCAGATGGAAGGTCTTTTGAAAAAAAAGAGGGTGAAAAATATTAAGGCGTTAAATGTGCATTTTCACAAAAAAAAAAGTATTTTTATCTGTATGAGTTTAAAATAGATCTTTATTATTAAACAAGAGTTCATGTTTAAAGGGGAGTTAGGACTATAAAATGTAAAATATATGAAATATGATTTATTTTGAACTTGTTTAATGATAAAACATAATGTAAAATTTATAAAAGGAAATTTGATTCTTTCCTTTATAATTGTTTTTATAATTATTAGTTTATTATAATAATGAAGAACTATACTAGGAAAATGGAAAGTTCTTCACGCTGCATAAGTGCATAACTCGCTAGTGCATGTTACAACTGTTACGTGAATAAGAAAATATTTAAATATAAATTATTGTAATTTATTTATCAAAATTTAAATATATTAAACACAAATAATGTAACGTATTTAGCATATTTCAGGGGTCAAATAGGTAGTGTTACACAAATCATGATACATATTCAAAAAAAAGGAAATAAAATTGTCAATTGTGACAAAAATGGGAGTTAAACCTTCGCTAACGCTTCAGACAATAAATCGCTTACAAAATAACGCTGGCCATTTGATCACATATTCGTACATAACTCTGCATGCCTCTGGCCAAACTTTTGTAAGGCAAATATCTTGTCAAGAAATCATCCGTCAGAAAATCGTGCTGTAACCAAATAAATCGCTAGTTTTTTTAAAAAAAAGGCGATTTTTTTGATTTTATATAATGTAAATATATAAGGCTAGGCAAAAAAATTTTTAGATTCTCATGACATAAAATTTTAAAAATGACCTGGCCGGCCGACGTTTTTTATATATGTAAAATTTTTTCATATGTAAAATTTTTTTATGCACATTGGCCAAAAACTTAAAATCATGTGATAAAAATTTTTTTCTACTATATGTATAAAAAAAAATTTCCATTTTTCGAAAAACTAACCCAGCCGGATTATGAGAATCTAAATTTTTTTTTTTTTGCCTGGCCTAAAAGGGAATTTTATATTCATAGTTATGGTAATATATAGTTTTTTCTTTTCTATTTTTTTTAGTAAAAAAAATTTTAAAATAAGATGAATTCTTTGAATTTTTTATAATGATACGAATATAAAAGGGAATCTAATTTCTTATTATTCAATAATGTTTTCTTTTTTTAGTTTGAAATATTTTTTTTTTAATAATAAATAGTGAATAATAATAAATAATAAATAATAATAAAAAAAAAAAATAACAATTTTTTAATTGTCTTATAGTAAAAATAAAAAAAGTAATTCGGATATTTATTGTTTGATAATAGATTTTTTCTTTTTTGGGTAAATTTGTAAAAAAAAGGGACATTAGGGCTAGAACCACTAAAATTCTTATTTTTTTTTAAATTATTTAAAAAAGGAAAATTGATATTTTTTTTTTTAGTTTAGTTTAATTTTTATAAAGTTTGTTATAAAAATTTTTTTATTTAAATAAATAAAATTGATTCTTTTGTTTATTTGGTTTCTGCTTGATCGTTAAATCAATTTTCAAAATTAAAATTTTTTTTTATTAGGTCGGTCGTTATACCGCAAACGATTTGACTTAGGATTGATTTAGTGGACGATATCATAATCGTTATGCCTTACATTCATTAATTTATCGTTTAAATGATTGCGTTAAAATTTCGATATACTCAATTAAATATATATTTGATTTTTCGAAGTGAAATACACCATTTTTTTTTATATAACTTATAACTTCGTAATTGCTAAAATTTATTATTCTATTTTATTTATTTTATTAATTTTCTGAAGTATGTTTGCTATGCCACAGCAGTCTTAAGACCGTTAGTTTTATTAATTTACTAATTTATCAAGATCTAAATGAGTAAATACAAAAATTTCTCAAAATTGTTTCAAAAATGACGTGCAATATTTGTAATGATCTTCTATCATTGCTTGCTTCAAATAGTTTTTACGATCGTTTAAGCTGACATAAATCTTGTAGAAAAGGAATACAATATAATGAAAGATTTAATTGATGGAATCCCTAATTACGCATTAACAAAAAAATATGTTACTGGTATATATAATTTTTGTATAAAAAAAAGATTACCGGGACAGAATTCTGAAACATTATCTATTATTGTCGTTGATACTTAAGAATCATACTATGAATAGAATTATTAAAAGACTATCATGAAGTCTAATGATATGAATTTGGGAAAATAAATTTTAGAATTAAAGTCAAAGGAAAATTATTATTGTCTCATTGCTTTGAAATTTGTAATTGAATATGTGATTATATTAACCGGGGTTTACAATTTAGTGAGCTTTATTTTAGTAAGAAATTTATCATTACAATATTTTTCTTTAGTGCTTTGTTATTATATTACTTTATAAATGTGAGTATTGCGTTACTGATAAGCAACTTTAGTAACTACTATGTAAACTAAAAAGAAAGCAAATTTACGGTACAATTAATTATTAATCAAGGCATAAGAGAGTGAACTGGAAAATGTTCATTAATACCTTATTCAATATTCATCGCTATCTTCATCTGTACTTGAAGGTACTTCATCTCCACTTTCTTTGTCTTCCAATTTTGCAGATTTAATTTCACAATAACCAAACTCTCTACGATAATCAGGTCCATCTTCGCTCTCGCTAAAGTGTATTTCCGTTTCGTGCTCCCTATAGTATTTGTTTCTAGCTCCTTGAATACAATCTGAATTTTTGTATAGACGTCGTGCTTCTCTTCTCATTGCTTCTTGAGCTAGTTTCTTGGAGACAAAGCAGCGACATTCAATTGAATATTCAACAGCTTTATATGGAGAAAAAAACATCGATAAGACCCAGACTTCAGCTGGAGTTTTGGCTGGAATTTTGGCTGGAGTTTTAGCTGAAGTCTTAGCTGGAGTCTTAGCTGGAAGTAGTTAAGAAATGATAAGATAAATTATCAAATAAAATATAAAATACAAAAAACACTTCTAATACCTTTAACTTGCGAGTTCCCTGTTGACATTTTCTTTCTTTCTTTTTTTTTTTTTTTGTTATTGTTTATTGATGAACAATTTTCGACGGTGATAAGAGATAAATTCAATATATAAAAACAAATCAAGCGAAAAAAAATATCAGGAGTATCAAATCATTTCGATCTTTTATAGATCCTGATAAACGACGTTGTGAAACCTGATTATGCATGTGTTTTTTCCTATAGAGTTGATGAAGCAATAATGACGTAATTAAATATCCCTTAAGATTTTAGGAATCTTACCATTTTGCAGATCATATATATATTAAATAACATATAAATTCCTTAACTTCTTAGCGGTTAAATGATATTGAGTATGATATACCTCCGATGTTGTATAGTATAGTTGACGAAAATCTATACAGTATAGTTTTTATCTATACAGTATAATTTTTTATCTATACAGTATAATTTTTTATTTATACAGTATATTTTTTTATTTATATAGTATAGCTTTTATCTATACAGTATAGTTTTTTTACACTATACTATACAACATCGGAGGTATATATCATACTCAATAACTATATTATCACTTCTTAGTATGCATCAGTTTTAAGCATCTCATTATCACAGACTAATCTCAAATGTTACAATTTGCTAACCATTTTACATATCTTCTATTTAAATCCGTTATGTCATATATACGACAGCATACCTCACTAATTCACGAGTTTTTCTGAAATTTTAGTGTCTCGAGCGTCAGATTCAGTTGTCTCATCCAGTTGATACAGCTAATTACGAAAAATAAATGAAGAGGCTTAATAAGAGACTTTTTTAACAAGATAATGGAAATATTTTTTATGGTAAGTTTATTACCTTAAAACAGAAAAGTTAACCCTCAAAATATAAATTTTCATTGTTTAAATAAACTACATAGAACTTATAAGTCATTAATTAATTATTTATGTATTATAGGTTTTATAAGCCAAACTGAATATTTTATGTTATTTATGTAATAATAAGTTGGAGTAAAAAAAGCAGGTTAACCCAATTATTGGCTCGGCAATATCAAACAGGAATTGTTTGAATTTTGTCTGAAGAAACTTGTCAAATTTGATTATATGAAGTACTGCTAAGCAGAGTTATAAATACTCTTGTTCTTGATTAAAGAAAATTATCAAATTAGTGAGATCGGGTGATTTGTCGATCAGTATGACATAAAAGTTTTCACAACGTCATTATTTGAAGTCTATTTTTTTAGTGAGTATTTCATATGAAAGATTTCTTTAGGTTCCTATTTCGATTTCAACCGATTTACCGTAAGTTTTATTATAGAAATTTGTTTTTGATACTTTGGTTTTATTATGAAGAGAAGATTTATCTTTTTATTATTTAAACTTTTTGGGTAAACAAGGGGTCATTTTCATGGGGGAGTTTGACATACTTTTAAAAGATCTTTTAAGTGAACGTTTTTGTAAAAAAAAATGCTTCAATTTATAAATATACAAATTGTTGATCTCTCCTTTAACAAAAGGAGAAATATGGCATGATGGTAGATGAAGAGGAGTGATGGGATACGAAAAGGAGTGATGAGAAGATAAAGAGGCGTGATGGGAGACGAAAATAAGTAATGGGAAGATCTTACAACATTCAACAAGGTGAGAATGTACATATTTCACTTCGACTATTGGGAGGGAACTTTAACATGGATTATAATAAGTATTGATACTTACTTCCATCTTAGACGGGTGAATAACATATAGCTATATCTATTATATTCTTTTTATTTTTTTATATGTTATTATAAATTTCATTAAAATAATAAAAGAAATGCGCATTACCAGTTACTAATATATATATATATATATATAAACTTTTTAGTTTTGATCATCACAACAAAACATTAATACATTTATTAAAAAAAAAATAAACTATTGTGAAAAGTATGTGCTATTCCCCTAAGGAAATCTATATTAGTAGTTTTTTTGTATTTATTAAATCTAACGAAGAAATACGTAATTCCCTATTTCATATATTAAAAGATATATGTAAAAATATTTATAAAATTTTTATATTTAATTTTATATATGTGTCCGTGAAACGTTTGTCGGTGAAATGATTGTCGGTGAAGTAATTGTTGGTGAGTTAAACGCGACCCGTGTCTGTCAGGATATATGTTGGATAATGTCATATCGGGAAAACTAGCATGTCGGTATAATGTCCATTAGGGAAGGTGTCATGTCGGTAAAATGTTCATTCGGGAATATGTCTTGTCGGGCAATCATCGTCGGGCAAAGGGTATGTTAGGGAAAAAGGTTGTCGGGAAATTGTCCGACATCGTTTACGTGAACGGTGACGGTTAGACATCAGTGATTCTTTTTGTAGTTTGTAGTAGTACAAGTGATTCTTTATTTTATTAAGGCAATAATCGACAAATGTAATTCGAAAACGGCGATAAAACAAATTAATTAAAAAAAAATCAATTAAATTACATTATTATCTATTTTTAAGTCAACAAATTAATTAAATTAATTAAATTACATTATTATCTACTTTTAAGTCTAAAAATTAAAAATTTAATCTATCTATAACCTTTAGCTCTGTCAACTCCGTTAACTCCCTTAGTACCTTTAACTTCCTTAGTACCGTTAACTCCCTTGGTACCGTTAACTTCCTTAGTACCGTTAACTCCCTTGGTACCGTTAACTCCCTTGGTACCGTTAACTTCATTAGTACCGTTAACTCCTTTAGTACCGTCAACTCCCTTAACACCATCAACACCGTTAACTCTCATAGCTCCCTCATAATCGTAATTTGGGTCATACTTGAAATAAGGTGAGTAATCGTAATTTTCGTCACCTTCATTGGAATCTTCAATGGAATTTACATTGGGCTCTCTAGTAGCATCTTTCATATTAACACCATAATAGGGACCCGAATGATACTTTAGGTCTATATCACTAAAAGATAACGATGCAGAACAATTTGGATCTTCAGCCACACATTCCTGAAAGGCATTTGGATCTTGATCAGGATTACTTATATATAATTCTTCACCAAAATGTTTATAGGACCCAATAAGTGGAATTGGCCATGGTGGAGGCAATTGAGGAACTGGATCACCATGAATTACAGTTCTTATTACTTTTAGGTTATCATCAACAAATTTAGCAAATTTTTCATCACCAATTCTTGGTTGACCAAATGTAGCAAGAAACAATTTTTCATTTTTAGCTAATTCTGGCGCTTTATGTATAAGATCTAATGCCGAAAATGTAGCAAGTGCTATGATAAAAAAAAAAAGACTGTTAAAAAGTTGTAATTAAATATGTAATTTTTTTTTGATTTATTGAACTTACCACCACCTAAACTGTGACCCATAAATCCGATCCTGAAATCGGGCTTTTCTTGGATTAATTTTAAAAGATCATCGGTAACTTGGGGTTGAATTTGGTTCCAAGCATTAAGAAATCCATGGTGTACCAAGGTACCAGGTGCAGGTTCCCAAGTATCGTGATAAATGATGAAGTCAGAAATGTAATTTCTAATACTTGTTGGTTCCGTTCCTCTATATGCTACGATAATTAATTGTTTTTCTGGCTCCATGGCTATGTAACCTACATATTTATTATTTTGTTAGTAAACGCAAAAAGTTAACGATGTGTGGCACAGTAATAATATAAAATACCCCTTGTGTTAAGCTGAGGGTTGCTAAAATCTTTAACCAATTGGGTACCCTTAGTTCTCTGACACATTTCTCCACAGTCCCAATTTTGAAGAGGAGCCTTAACATAAGCAGTAGCAGCGTAATTAGCAAAGCTCTGTAAATTAGGAATTGATGTAATGGGACCAAGAGTATTAGGTACTGGAGCGGCTTCGATTAATACTGATAAAAAGATTAAAGAGATTAAAAAAATTAACTTGAAGGATAATGTGTGTTGTAAAAGATGTGAAAAGGAGTTATGCGTATATTTGGTAGGAGTTGCTTTGCAACTTGAAGAAATAATTTGCTGCTGCATTGCTTATTGCTTTACAGAGGAAATATTTTAGTATAATGTTTTAGTGTAAAAGAATGAAATGCTGTCAGATAAAAAAACACGTTCTTTTATACATTTTTTGGAGTTATGATCGCATCTTTATTGAAATTAAATTAATAGTAAATCATCACACTTTTTCTTTATCGACAGATTTGATCAAATACCCTGTAAATAATTTTTAGTAATTGGACACTTTCAGTGATTGGACTCTTCATAGCGAGCTTATTGACTAAATCATTCTTTTTGAATGGTAATTAAAAATTTCCAAGACTTTTGATGATCAACTATTTGACCATCGTTAATATTTGTCCCACATTTGACATGTTAGGATCATTTTGTTTATTATAAAGGGTTAAAATATTGAAGATCTTTTAATGTGGGACCCGATGACCGTTTCGGTATTTACGAATAAAAATACATTTCCGAAATTGCAATTAATGTGGAACAAAATAAAATATTGAATCCCGATGGATAATTCCCGATAATCCCGACATATTAGCAGATGTAATTTTCGTCAATACTGATCCAAATCTAAAGGGGAAAAGAATGAAAAAAAAATTAGCAAAAAAAATACTAGATATGAAAAAAAAATTATTATTGAAAATGAGAATTGAAAAAAAGGTGCTTACTATAACACCGCAACATCAACCCGATTTCTGATTTAGATTTAAGTCTAAAAAAAAAAAGAATAATTTTAATAATGTACTTATTAATAGAAAAATATATAAAATTAAATGAAAAAATTATATAACAAAAATAGTATAGGTCTATTATAAAGGAAAAAAAATCAAAAAAAATTGGTTTAAAAATAAAAAGAAAATTAAAAGAAAAATTTTCAGTTTTAGAAAAATCAAACTGAAAAAGAAATTAAAAAAGAAAATCAGTTTAAAAATAAACCAAAATAAAAATTGAAAAAAAAAAATTCGGTCTAAAAATAAACCGAAAAAAACAAAAAAACAAAAGAGTTACTTTGCAGGATTGTTACTACGCAGTTAAGTGATCGCCAACGATTTAGTATCCAACACGTGACGACATGTATCGAGAGCATTGTACCCCGAACAAATCTAAAAACGTGGATTTGGATTTATTAAAACATTACACCACCTTATTTGCGATACGGCTATTAGATGGTGGAAAGATTTGAGGCTATATATACCAAACAGTGGATTTATGAACCTACCAAAACACTTGCAACGCTCGATGCAGATCTTGATTATAATTCCTACGATAAAATTTTGACATGGTCACGATATGGTTTCGATTTTAAAGTTTCTGCAAAGTATTGCGTATTATATTTTTCAAGAATATGATAATGTTTTGTTGGATCTTAATAAAGTTATACAATTGGAACCATCAGGTGTCTAACATATTATCAGTTAAACAATGAAAGATATTGATAATTGATTATCTGATGATATATTAGTAAAAACTCAACTATTTCATTTAGAATATTTACTGAATAAAATATTTCAGTTCTAATATTAAAGATAGCAAATTACTACCTTTAATTAGATGTAAATATATATATAAAATGTACTATGGAGCAAAGCAATTGTTATACATATATATATCATAATAGGATTTATATTACTTCATATATCTCATATATTTATCTATGATTAAAAGAATACGTGGATTTTTGAATGTTAATGATAGTAATGATTTTTCTAAATGAATTTAGTAAACATACATGTATGTATGAAAGTAGTAATTCATGAATTTCTTAAAGTGAATAATAATTAATATATATTAATTAATAACGGATTATTTTAGAACCACTTTCAATTTCAAGAAAATGATACAGATAGGTAAGTAGGTAAGTTTATATTTAGAAAAATTTAATACGTAATAAAATCATTAAATTAATCAATCCAATCTTATCAGGAAAGATGATATATTTTAAAATGAAGAACTTATTTAGACTTTCCCATATAGTAAATGGTAATAACTAATAAGTATGATTATGTTATTTGGAAAATACTAAGTATTATCTCTTTTTTTTACTATTAAAAAATGTTATGATTCTAATATAAATATGTGGTAAAACTTGAACCTCAACTTTCAATTGAAGTAAATGTTTACATAGGTGATTTATTACATGATCATCACAAAATTTGTCTAAATGTTCCAAAACTTTTAAAGATAAATACTTTTCAAGAAAAGAAATGGAAAATTTGCTTGAGCTGAAGATATAATTAATCACTTATAACGATATTTTTTTTTCAAAATTTATTATTACTATTTATTTTTATACAAATAATACTTAAATTTATCATAACTATAACTTAATAAATGTAAATTTATATTTATTCTAATTAAAGATTATAATTTATTTAAACAAAAAATATATATATATTTATTTCAATTATTTTGCAGCAATGATCCTTCCTGATCAAAAACTTAAGAGAAAAAAAATAAAGAAACCGCGCTTACCCGTGATCCTGCATCTCCAATCCAAACCTAAATGTTAAAGGCGCGTCATTCTTTGACATTTTTTAGGGAAAAAAGCTTAATCGATATCACATGTTTTCGTAAATTAATTTTAATTCCCGAGGGCGCAGCAAGGGTATTTGATTGAAATACGGTACCCGACTACCCCAGCGTATCATGAAAAAAATGTCATGAAATGGACGGTATTACGCAACTTGACTGAAATTAAGTGTGGCGCACATGTGACGGATAGTGCGTGACGAGTAGGATTTGTTACTAAAAAAATTTCTAAGTCCCTCAGATACTTATGAAAAATGGAAACAAGGAAGGGTGTGACACCGATGATGAAATACCACGTGATTTTTCATGACATTTTCAGGTTACACAGAAAATCGGGAATTTCATAAATCCTCCGCAATAATATAAAACCAATTAAAAAAAGTTTTTTCGGTTTGATAAAAATCGAAAAGTATTTGAAAAAAAAAAAATCTCCGGAATGGCTAAAAATAAAATATGATTAATAAGATAAATAAACCTTTATTTTGGTTAATAGGCACAGATATCAATATCGTTTCCATATTACACAAATTATTGTACTCAAAATTCTTTCATTCTATTATAAAATTATAAAATTCAATATTTTGTTACTATTTTTTCTCGTAATAGAACTTAATTAAACAATTTTACCATAATCCTACAGAAAAATATAAAGTGATGTTACGTAAAATGATGTTTTGATACTTAAAGGGAGGAAAATTTAAGTAATTACAGTCAACGTAAAGCTCGTTATAGTAAATTTGGCTTATAACTTTTTTATTCTCCCAGTTCACTTACTAATAAATCTTATTCGCTATAGTAAACTTACTAATAAAATCTCAATATTAGATATAGTAAACTTTTTAAAAATTTCATATAGAACGTATATTATAAACAAGTCGACTACTCAAAGAACGAATAATTCATAGCCGATACTATCGATCATATAATCAGGTTTTCAGAGGTAAACTTTTGAATAAGTTTATAAATATTTACATGAAGTTTGTAAAAAATTAGGCATTACTTTTATATAATAATTAAAATTTCTAAGAATTTAACTTTTATTACCCCATAACAAAAGTTTAATTAATTTGTATATACTGTATATCATTTTAGAAAGTACTGTCGGTCAGTAATCTTAACAATGAAAATGTAACATAATTATTGATTTTAAAAGTGAATCACAAGTTTATTATAAAGTTTAAAGGTAGTATCAGATTTAAGGTCAGACCTCGATATGCCGATATTTGATATACCGATATATTGAAAATTCGATATAACGATAAAATTTTACTTCAATTATATGATATTTTTCAAAGATTTTCATATAGGTCGCAGGTCCAAAAGGTATTGTTTGTGCAACAGTTTGGCAAATACAAACTGTAGTAACATCATAGCACCTNTCTAAAAGATCGCCATTATTTTTCAATTAAGAAATGTAAACTTGCAGTAAAGAGACAAGATTCTATTTAATTATTATAATCTTATTAATACATTTTTTCAATTAATTTTATTAATAAATACCAAAAGATTTCATACCAATTATCTTATCATTTTTCTTCGTAATAATCATCAGAATTTCAGGCTCAGAAAAATTATTAAAATTGAGTAATCTGGCTTCATATGAAATATATAAAAAGCTTAGTTGATCTACTAGTTGAAAATGACCGCAGTTCGATAAGATATTATTGATTATTTCTAATTCGTTTCTCATTTTTGAATTATTATCGAAATAAATATTTATTAGAATCTTGTGATTTTCTAAACCATTTATTTAAAGTTTTTTAGTTACTTCTTGAGGTAATAAATTTCATTAATTTAAATATTCTTTTAATTCTTTATTTCTTTTTTTTAACATCATATTAATATATATATATGTATATTTTGTAAGATCCAAAAATATATGCCAACCCAGTCATACCCTTGTAAGTTAAAAATATATGGAATGTTTTAAGATCCAGATACAAAAAATTATATTTAAGATGAATATTGTTAAAAATGTGATAGAAGGTATATACATATGTAACATATAATTGGTGCCATCCATGCCAAAAGGATTACTTAGAAAATTTTACAAATTGGAACAGTGGAAATAAAGAGATTGACGATTTCATTCAATCCGTGCGATCA